GGTACAATAACCCTTGGTGCCAGGAAAACCTTGTCCCCTCTAATTCTGCCTGCGTATTGACCACTTTATCTCTGTATATTTGCAGGGTAGGGTCGCTAAGGGTTTCCTGACCAAATTCTGTGGAGGTATCCCAGGGTAGGGGCGAAAGGGTTTGGGAAGGTTCTCTTACCTGGGTCTCAGAGTGCAAGCAGTTCTCCGTTGTGTGAGCTTGTGACCGGGTGGTGACTGGATAGATCTCGTTGGTTGTCTGAGAAGGCAAGAAAGCAGAAGTTAACTGGCCGAGGTCGTTTCCCAGCAATACGTCGGCGGGGAGTTCCTGCATTAACCCCACATCGACCAGTCCTGACCCGGCACCCCAATTCAGGTGTACTATCACTGTGGGTAACTGGTGTACTGCTCCCCCTGCTACCCGCACAGCTACTGAACCTCCTGTTCGGTCAGCATCAGGGACTAGATGTCTCTTTACCAGGGTGAGTGTGGCTCCTGTATCTCAGAGACTTTGAGCTGGTTTTCCATTCAGCTATATGGATTGTCGAGGATGCTTATACGTAGTGGCTTGCACCAGGTCTGCTTCATGTAGGTTACCCCATTATTCCTCATTGAATTCGGACCTGGGCATGAGTGGGATGGCCTCAGCATGGTAGTAGTGGGCTGCTGCCCGAGCTGGAGGAGGTGGTCCTGGTCATATCCACTGAGCTTGGTTTGGCCCCTGTGTACAGTCTTTTTGATAGTGCCCAAACTGTTTGCACTGGTGGAACAGTACCCTGCTGCGTGATGGGAACCTGGGTGCCAGCTGGTTTGATGGGTTCCCTCCTCTCTGCAGTACTTGCAGCCCTGGGTTGGCAATCCAGGGTCTGAGAACTGTGTGGTTAAGGTAGTGGGCTTTCTGTCTTTTACCCACTCCTGGATGTTGGGATTTGGTCCACTGTAAAACTGCTCCAGTAGGATCAGCTGCAGTACATTTTCCCAGGTTTTGGCTTTGTTTGCTTGAAACCAGGCTAGGGCTGCCCGCTGCATTCAGCACGTCCATTGGGCGTGAGAATCCCTTTCAAGCTTTATTTACAGAAATCATCTCCTATTTCGGGAGTAATCGCATAACTCGCCAATATCACTTCTTTCACCCACACATAGTCTGTGAGGTCCTCCTCTGGAACTGCTCTGTATGCCTAAGATACTCTGCCAGAAAGTTTACCAGCCACGATGTGAATCCAATTTTCCGTTGGTACTTGGTACTTCTCCATAAAAGGCTAGTTTGTGTTTAACATCCCGATCAATTTCAGTTTCCATGTTTGCGGGTATATAAAATACACTGGTTTCTTCCCAGGAGTCTCTGTGTCTGAGAGATAATTGAGCCCAAAATCAGATAACTCAATTATCTCTCAGTTACAGGAAACAATACAAAATAATAAAGAATACATCAAAATAGTGCAGGAATACCACAAAAGTCATATCCCCGAATAGCTTGAGTTTGAGCACCCACTTTGTTGAAATAATGCTCAGGTTCCTTTGGTGTTTTGGAATCAACATTCAAATGATATTTTGACCGGTCAGCCACAAGGTGATGTCCCAATACAGTTCCACAGAAACAAAGGCAACGACCGGTCTTCTTTCGAGGGTTCCCATGCAAACACCGATGAATGTTCCCCCTGTTTGGAAGTTCCTCTCTCCCAAATGCCATTCTCCTAACTAGTCGGGAAGATGCATGGGCAGCGGTACAAGTTTCCCAGGTGTTCGTAAGGTCGCGTAGCCAACATACAGTTTTAGGAAAGCTGTGTGAAGTGAGAAACAAGCGAGAGAGTAAGATGACCTTCCAGACAATTCTATTCTCTATTTAGCAACCTGTTCTTTGGCAACAGCTGATGTTTCCCTTTACTGAGCCCACATTACAACAATGAAAAGGATTCTTCCAGTTATGCAGTCTTAATAGACGTTAGTCTCACTTGAAAACATCAAATAGATCTGGCAATGTTTTAGCCCCATATCATCAATGTCATTACCATGCCGAAACATTTTTTTTATTATTATTATTATTATTTTTATGTTTGTTTATTCATTAATTTTTATTTATCATTTATTTTTATTTTATTTTTCATTATTTTTAATTTCATTTAATTTATTATATTTTATATTATTTGCATTTTTTTTCCCTCGCATCTCTCATTTTTAAACCATCCCCTTTTTGAATCATAAGCTTTTTTACAAATATACTAAAATCTTTTTTTGTCTCATATTTATTAAATATTTTGATAAACGTCCAGATATAATGGAATGTAATCATAGAGTTTTTTGGAGTACTTTTAATGGAGTGTCATCTGCTAGCTCTCTTTTTTGTGATGTTTTTGGGACAATAAGTATATTTAATTTTATAATTTTATTATCTATGTGACAGACCGCCTGGCACCCCGACCGAGTGCCTCCGCCAATCGCTGCTTCCTAGTACCTCCGAGTACTTCCAGCACTCCACCGGACACCATCAGCACAGTAGCCCCTTAGCCGACGTAACTTGGCTGGGGTCTCGTTGTCCCTTCCCCCCTGGACCAACACCTGGATCCAGCTCCCAAGAGGTATTATAGCAGTGTAGCTCTTAAAAGAGCTAGTGATTATAGCAATCCAAAGAATAATCCCAAAAGCAGGGATTATAGCTGGTATAGCTTTCTGGTCGGTCTCTCTTTATGGAGTACAAAAGTACATACATTTTTAAAGGGCCCATAGTCTTTTGGCAGGAGGCTGGCAAGCAGGCCCCTCCAAGAACACGTGTCAGAGGCATTTCTGCCACAATCTATGTATTTCATTATTATTCAATTTCTTAATGAAGTTAGTGTGACTTTTTTCTTTATCGTTTGTATATTATTACTTATCAGTCTCTTTCTAATATACAATAAAAATTCTGGCAAAAGACTCTTGATGTAGGGGATATATGTGTTGCATTTTCCCCCAAAGGATTATGGACATAAATGGACGCCCATGGAACTCATGAGTGTTCCATAAAAGAACTCATATGGATAACTATGGAGATGCTGCTGCTGAAATGCAAGATGCAATCCGCCGACACTCAGGAAGGTATCTATTATGGTCGGCGGACGTCCGTGGAATGCACAGGCGTTCCAAAATAAAGAAACTCTGATCAAGGACCTCAATTATGACATTAGTGAGGCGCATATGCTATCCACCGATGCCAAAAGACCGGAATTCCTTACAAGGACAGCCTTTGAGGATATTTACCAACAGGTGAGACCACACAAGCAGATTGGTTTAAGACAGTCCGCTAATGGAAGAAGGGACCTATAAATTGATACAAGGAAACAGTTTGAATTCTACTACCGTGACAACAGACCCAGATTTATTGCACCTTAGGAAGTCTTAAGTACAAGACAAAACATGTAGCGCTGTTTATATATATTTCTTTTTACTTCACTTTGCACCGTTTCTAATTTTAACTGATTGCCTCATTCATCTATTGTACCTGAGTACCATTGGACCTAAGAACTTTGCTTTACCATACCATTCTGGAACAGGACTAGTGTCTACATGACTATTTTAGTGATGGACTTTCTTTTTACATTGATCCTGTGAGTGTAACCTAATAAAGTGTCTGTTATTATATATCACAGTGTTGCACTATGTTTGCGTTTTGTTTCCTTTTACATGTGTCTTCCAACATCTGATATGGAATCTACATCATATTGATGAGTCTGAATTTTAACGAATTTTGTGAGTGTGACCTTGAAATTCTAGTATTATCAGTGTATTACCCTATGGGTTTTTTGTAGATATTTTCAGCACAATTTAAGTCCTGAAACATTGCCAAGTTTGCCTGTTAGATGTTTGATTGAATATGTTTTGTAGCTAATTAAATAAATCTAGAAAAAAAAGCGAGTGCCTCTCTAAAACAAATTCAAAGAGAGTCATGAGAAGAGAAGGTCCACAGAATTCTAAGATGTCTCTTGTACCCCCCTAAATGGCCCCCCAAAAAGAAAACACATAAAGTGGGTTTATAGAATTTATTAACTGGACTTTGCAGGCATAAACACATCTAAAAAAAATTTATATTAGAAAACTGTATATGCAGATATGCATATTTCTGCTTGTAATGTATTACATCTGAACCTGTGAGTATAGTGAGTGTAAACCGCTTTGGAGATGCAAACAATGCTAAGATAGGTTAGATGTAGTTAGAGTAAAGGGGAGGTACATTTTTGAGTAAGGTTAAGGTCATTTAGTTAATATAGGATGTTCAGTTATAAGAGAATTATAAGCTTGAGAAGGGTAATAATTGTGATATAAAGGGTTATTTAGGACTAGAGTGGGGTTATATTTATTTATTTAGATATTAAGGATTATTGAGTTTAGGTTTAGAGATGGTTTAAATGTAGTATCGGAATAAATGAGGTGTTCTGTTTAAGAGTTAAAAGTCTTAAGGTAGATGGTGTTTTCAGGTTTTCGACTTTTAGTGCCTAAATTTGGGACTAAGGACAGGGTGTGTTTAGGTTTTGGGAGGGTTTAAATTGGTGACTAGGGAAAAAGGGTGTTTAGGGGTTGTGGAATTTAAAGTTCTGACCTTTGCATCTTGTCCCAATAGCTGTGTGTCAATAAGTATACACTGTGGGTTGTTAGTCTTATGTGCAGTTATTGCACATAGAGATGCACTATATTTAATGGGGTTGTTTGTTATTTATGTTAGTGTTGCCTCAGTAAGTAAGGAGAACTAAAGAGAACAGGTGCCCCGCACAGTTCATGCACCTTTAGGCAGTTGCCTACTCTGCCTAATAGCAAATACGGTCCTTGGTTATCTGGCAGTCGGGGTAGAAATGTAAATTGCCCCCCAACATGAAATTGTATAATTTGTTATTTTTTTTTTGTCTTTCGATATTGTCCCTAATACACTTTTATTATAGAAACTACAAAAACATGCACTCATATTTACATACACACACATTCATGTACACACAAACATTCATATGAACATATTCATATACACATACTCAAAATCCTAAAACCACGCACCATTCATATACACAAACACATGCATAGTGTCACACACACACACACACAATTACATTAAAAAACATACTCAAGGGGGGGCGTGTCTGACACCTGGCTGTTCGGAAGCATGGTGTGAGAGCTCCGACTGAAACAGAGCTGACATGCTGAGCTAATAAGCTGTTTTCTTTTCTTTTTTTTAAACTGCCGTTATACTGCCCGACCGGGTAGGTGGATGATCTGGATGATGTTCTGGGTGTAAACTCCCGGCGTTGCATCAGTTTGGTCGGACTGGCCTGAAAAGTTGCTTCATGGAGGAAGGAGGCAAGGAGCCGCAACGAGAGACGCGAGATGAACAAGTCGCAATTGCAAAAGCGATGGCGCCATCCAAACAGACAAAACTGAAAGACACGGCAAGGCATGTCAGGAAAGATCGACAATGGCAGGCTCAAGAGGATAATGAAGCTGAAGCTGATAATATTGCTGAAACCAATGTTGGTGCACAGTGTGTGGTGATGGAGGTGGATCATATGCAAGTTATACCCGATGAAGGTCAGATAACAAAAATATTCTTGAAGCAAATGTTGCAAGACCTGAGAGCAACTATAAAGGAAGATTTCACTTTGATTATATCTAATTTACATCGAGAGATTGCAGAACTGGGGGACCGCAACGACAACTTAGAAGTAAAGGCAGATGACTTATGTTTGGCCCATATTGAAATGGATGATAAACCCCAAAAAATAGAGGAAGAAAATACTAAATTGTGGCACAAGATTGCCGATTTAGAAGATCGTGCACGCAGGAATAATGCAAGATTCAGAGGAATACCTGAATCTGTATCGACGGACAAATTTGTGGATTATATTTTGAATTCTATGTGTTCCTTTGGTTCCCACAATAGATAGAAAAGCATGGGTATTAGACAGAGCTCATCGACTGCCAAGACCTATGAGAATGACGGCAGACATACCGCGAGATATAATTGTGCGTTTTAATCACTACACTTCAAAAGAAGCGTTGTTTGCAGCAACACACAAACTATCAGTACTGCCAACACATATGAGAAAATCTCTATCTTCTCAGATTTATCTGCTATTACAATAGCAAGAAGGCGGGTGTTATCCTGCGAAGCAATGGCCATCTATACCGGTGGGGGTTTCCAACTAAAGTTTTGATATGGCAAAATGGAAAAATGACTGTGACTGTGACCCCAAAAGCGGAATCATCACTCTTAAAGAAATGGGCCTGTCGAATAATGAAGAAGAAACTGCAGTATGTACACAAGTGGCATCTCCCAAAAATTTGAGGCCAGAATGGAAGATGGCCGGAAAATCAGCTCTATAAGGAGTTTACAGATTTTAAGGGAAAGAAAGAAAAAAAAAGGGGGGGGACTGGCTTTTGACCTTTACTAACTGTTTTTTTCCTTTAGTATCTTCTTTTGTTGCTTTTTTTTTGTTTGTTTTTTTGTTTTCTTTTCTTTGGCTATTCCATTTAAAGGCATAAAGTGTCATATGCAGCGCAAGTTTTCCATCTCTGATTGTTCCTTTAAATAGCTTACCCTACGTTGAAGATGAGAGACGCACTTTTGGATTTACAAATACTGCACTGAACTTGGTTAACACTCTGACTTCCACAGTTGCAGCTTAGAAAGGCCGTTTGGGCTTTACCCGACAAGAACATTTTGCAAGTATTTCAAAAAAATACGTAAAGCAATATGAAAAGCAGTAATATTATTGAATATTGATAATTAAGGGTTTTTGGAAAAGTGAAGTAGATATCTCCATCTCCTTGTGACAATATTGTTAAAAACAAATTTAGGCTGTTTGAGGGGAGGGATTCGCGGGTAGGTCAGGTTAGTTTACTGAGAGTGTAATGTTATGAGCATTATCAGTAAAATGATCTATTAAGCTGAATTTTTATGATATTCAAAGATAGAATAGTTAAAATATAGGTTATATAAGGAGCGTCACATCACATGACCATAAGCCTGGTAGAGTATATGTTGAGAAGGTGTATAAATCAAAGATAAGATGAGGAAATAGGGTGATAAAAGATGAGACAAGGAGAAAGGAGAGAGAAAATAAAGAAAAAATAAAAGGAAAATATATATTTTTTTAAAGAAAAAAGGAAGGGGGAAAAAAAGAGAAAAAAGGAAAAGAAAAAAAGGAGGGGAGGAAAAAAAAGGAAAAAGGAAAAGAAAAGAAAGCGAGAGAGAATAAAAATGAGAGCAAATAATTTGATCCAAGTTTTCTGTGGTGATTAACAGTATATGATTATTTATGTTTTGGTAAAATTAATAGATATATATGTGGCTTGGTCGGGGGAGCTAGTCTTGCCCCACACGAACCTTCTGAAGGTCGCAGACTGGACTATCAGTATAAGAAGAAAATTGTGTTGGTTCTCATAGTGAGAAGTGTTGATCTAGTATGAGTCATCAATTTACATGCTTCTCGTTAAATGTTAATGGTTTAAATAGTCCTCTAAAAAGAAGCGCTACTATACAAGAAATTAACAAATCAAAGGCAGCAATAATTTGTCCGCAGGAAACTCTGTAAGCAGAATCCTCCAATTTTTAATCCAAGAGGTTATCCTCAAATGTTTTATACGCTATCTCCCCATAAGTCTAAAGAATTGTCAATAATGTTCCATTCAGATTGGGTATTCCAACTAGATGAGATGGGTAGACTATTGGTTGCAGTAGGCTTGATGAACGGAATACAAATCACAGTGGCCTCGGTGTATGCACCTAATGAGTCTTAAACCTCTTTTTTAACAAAGGTGTTTTCTAGGATTGCTAAATGGCGACAAGGCCATATTATTATTTGTGGAGATTTTAATTGTACATTAGATACTGAATTGGATATTAAAAGGGAACAAGGTACAAATCCATGGCATTAAATGGTTTCCTGAACTTCAGGAAACATACCTTTTGCCATCCCAGGAACTTTTTACTTACCTGCGATTGAAACATATTTTGATTACAACATTTCTTAAGATACAGGAAAATACCATGACTACACCATTTGTGCAAAAGTGCAAAGGGAAACTTACTCATAATAATGCGATTTCCTTTTGTTAGACTACCCTTATGTCCTTAGAAGAAGAGGACATTGTAGATTATATGAAAAAAAATGGGAAAAAGATTTAAACAGGCAGCTTCCGAGGGAAAACTGGCACAAGGCACTCATAATTACTGAAAGGGCTTCTAGGAGTTTAGCACATTGGGAAGCATATTGTAAATTAAACATGAGATGGTACATGGTACCCACAAAAATAGCACGTTCATATCCTAGGACACCTGCAGAATGCTGGAGATGCCAGGTGGAAACTGATACCCTTTATCACATTTTTTGGGAGTGCCAAAAAATAACCCCAATATGGAATGCTGTAGAAAAGTTTTTTAGTTTAGGGCTAAGGGTAGATATTCCAAAACAACCGGAATCATATCTCCTACATATGTTTTCGATAACATTTCTGGAAGAGGTATTAACAATAATTATACAATGTTTAATAGGGGTTAAATATCCCCAGAATATAAGAAGGAACTGTTGTAGAATATGGTCAGCCTTACGATAACTTTTAGGAAAAGGTTAAGAAATAATTCAACGTAATAATACCGTTCCCCCCACTTTTCATCCCATCCTTGTTTATTATAAGCAAATGTTTATTATGGTAATGCTTATGCAGTTACTTATGACACCACTATTTGGTTTAAACAGATCCTTTTTAGATTGGCTAAAGGTGCCCATTTACAAAGGTGTATAATGAGTTGTAAACTTTATGAATCTTTAGACATTATTTAAATTAGACTGTTGTACTTTCCACATCAAACTGGCCTAACCTGTGTCACACTAATGTAATAGGGGCTCAGTGTGGATAAGTTTTATATTCACGAGGATTTACTAGATCATCTTATTAGATTAGAGATTTATTAATATGCAGTGGATATAATTTGGTTGAAGTTCAGAAAACTTTTACAGGTGGTATGGAATCTGAAATTAGTAATGTGTAACTGTAATCTGTTTATTGCATTATATTTTAAGATATGCTTATTAATTTTTTCTTTTTTATATGTTATGCCTATATTACTGATGTTTATATCTATCGTGTGGTGCATAATATGACTGATCACATATAACTCTGTTTTTGTTTTTATAAATAAAATAAGACATTAAAAAATACTCAAATTAATTTACACATACATGCATATTCACTCAGAAACATATTGACACACACACTAACATTTATATACACTCATGCTCGCATTTAAGTTTTATTTAGACCTTAATCCTTGGTATCTATAGGTTTGCTGCTGGGATCAGTCTGTGCACTGATTGCACAGCTCCCTGCACCACTGTACTCACACCAGGGCTAAGGTGATGTTGCATTCTGTGTCTCAGCATGTAGGTGAAGGAGCTGCGCAGCGAGAACACAGACTGATTCCAGCAGCAGCTGCTAACAAGGTCTAACCCAAGGTCTGAATCTGAAGTGCAGGCACTTGTCACGTGGATCCACCACCTGTAGGCAGATACCTGCTAAGGAGAAAGGTGCTCTTTGCACCACCCTGCCATCCATTACCTGGGGCAGACCAGGTGTAGACGTGTTCTAGCCTTGCAAAAGTTTCAGAATCGCACAATGCACCATAACCAAACCTTTCCTATTTCAATTTTTGTTGACTCACGCAATCCCCTATCCTCAGTGTGAGAAAAGTCTTTGAGGGACTTTATGAATCAGTTGCCTATACCCAAAGGCTACAGATAATAAGGGGTCTCCCGCACTCCCTCCTCAAACAAGGTGCTTAGCTAAACCTTAGGCTGGCTAGACCTTGGTCAATCGTCTGCCTTATTTACATAGCTTGAGTACCTGGACCATCCTGTTCCTTATGCCCCAAGGCCAGGCATCAGCTGAGTGGTACATATGCTGGCCCCAAAACTATCCAGTTTGGTTATAGGTCTATATATGATTCTCCCTAATATATATAATATATTCTCCCTAATATATGTTATATATTTTTTTTAAATAATGTGTTACCTGTTATCGTGTGCCTATCTCACTTTTGTAGGGAAGCTATGCTATTGTGTTCCAATCGTCCTATTAGTTAAACTGCGTATACATGCTAGTTGGTTATAAGTAGTCATCTACTTAACTGTGTTAATTTAGTTATGCACGTGTGTTAGAATTGTCTTAAATTACTAAAGTGTTAGATCTTTATTTCAGACTTTGCGCTGCATATCCGTTTACAAAGAAAAAAAGTGTGTAAATTCACTTTTAAGCAACAAAGGGTTTGTTTCACCATTTTCCATTACGTCAGTCTATTCCTCTGCTTTGCTTTCGTACACCACATGTGGTTCTTCAGTATATCGATCAAGTTTGTCCTGAATAGAAGGCAGTTTAGCAGGGAATTCTTTTGTATTCTGAAAATCATTAAAGTGATTCACAATGATAATTCCAATGAGAATGAGAATCACCACCGAGAGAAGCAGACGAATAATATTTGCCGTGGTAAAGTTCATCACTGGAAAACGGAACAACACAATATTAATTCTTCTTGTCTAGCATTTATATGTATTGTCTATTTATATGGTTTAGCATTTCTGGGAACCCAAAGTTAATATATGCACATACATGTGTATTTCTAAGTTAGAACACTTTCTCTTACAGTGCCTCTTTTTTTAAAAGTGTTTAAAAAAAAATATAAAAAATAAAATGTCTTAATTAACATTTGCTCTCTTTTCCAGTAAACATTCCTGGGATTGTATTTGATTCTATGACATAAATAGTATTTTGCCACATAAAATTGATAACTTTTGGGGTTTATATGCTGTGGAAAAAATACAAATCTTATCCTCATGTGATGTTATTAACTACTTTACTAATAAAGTATTTTTTATTTTTACAGAATTAACATAGCTGTTATAAGAATCATGGACGAAGGATAGGAATTTATGAGACACAGTCATACCCACAGACCAGGAAATGTGACTCCTAGTTGATAAATCAATGTGGTCTGACACGGTCTCTCTACTTCTGCAATAACAATAGGGGCGAGTGTCTCTTTAAGTTATTATACTCATAGAGTGAGCATTGTATATATATATATATATATATATATATATATATATATATATATAGTACAACACTGCAAAATTTGTTGGCAGTTTATAAATAATTGTATATATGCGTGTGTGTGGGTATATGTATATAAAACATTATTATTTTGTTATAAATTTATAGTGCGCAGAATGAAAAAAGTATATACAGTTTTTGATAATTAAATCCATTTTAAAATCATAATATCTACATTGAGATTGTGGTTAAAATACAGTTGTACAGTTAGATTTTCATAATCAGTGTAAGTAATATCTTGAGACAGCAAAACTACAAATAAGTCAATCCGCATATAATTAGAACATATTACATCTAAAAACAGATGCTGTATTAAACCTTTAATGGACTTGGTAAAAACAAAGCTCAACGACAAACAGAGCCGATACATACACTGCACATAATCATATTATAAGAACACATGTGATAGTGTGGCAGCTCCTAGTATATGACAATAATATAATATATTTTCAAATAATTATGGTGATTCTGTTTAATTTAAAACCCCAGCACATGCATTCAGTATAAGGTACAGTTTCCATATATATGAGCAATATAATATCTAGCTGGTGTGAATATATAGCTCTAACTTCAACATGACAACATGCACTATTATATATGAGTAACGTTTAGACTTAGGAGTCCAAAGGGGTCAGTAATTTGTGGGGGGTCTGCAAACGCGGAAGACATACTGCTATCACTAGCACACCCAAAGGAATTCTTGGCTCCCAAATATTCTCAGTATAAGCAAACTTGGGATCCTTGGCTCTACTTCCTCCAAAAACAAGCCCTTCTGGGCCAAACCGTAGACTGATGCAGATTGCACCCTAATGTCCATGCATGTATGAACAGCCTATCTCCTATCCCAGGTGTCAACCCTTCGTTCCCGGTCGCCATGAAGGACTCATTGAGATTTAACTCACAAGTTGATTTCCATCCCTGTTCCTCTTTAAAAAGTCTTTATCTTAGACTCATTTCATTGAGTTTTGTCAATTTTCATACATGGTACTCAGCTTGACTTGACTGCTATGTTGCCCCATAAGGATCGGTTGTGTCAGACAATGTTCACGCACCAGCTAAAAAAAATTTTTTTCTTGCATCATTGTTTCTGTACAAATCAATGTTTTATTCAGGCGACCATGACAATGTGTTATATCTTTCTTTCCAATGAATCCTATGTACTGATGTACTGCATTAATGCCCATAGCTACTGCTGACCAATCAGTACTGAATGCATGTTATTCTTTTCTACTCAATATAAATGTATATTTAAAAAAAAAAAAAAGTGTCTGAAACATACAGAAGAAAAATTAAATTGGTTCCGTTTTTTTCTGGTTTATGACTCAATGTATCATGTTGTCAACATCACTTTTTATAGCATTACATTTTCTTTTCACTTAATTTCAATACAGTTAGGTTCACTGGTTACCAAATGAACTTAAAGCGGATCCTGTTGTTTTTCTGTATTTCATGAAGTTAAAAAATATTAAATTTCATTGCTCCTCCAAAGCAATCCAAAGAAACCATAAGGTAAGTATGTACTGCTTTGTCTTACGGTAAAGACTGAGGTTTTGGGATTTTGGGGGGAAATAAGGAAAGACCCTTGAAATTGACAGATCCACTTAAATAATTTCATTATTTAAACATTTTTTTCTTGAACTAATTACTTAATAACACTTACGGTCACTGATGATTAGAGGGTCACTGATCACCGAATCAGCAAAATCTTGCCTGATGCGTATACGATAAACACAATAATATTTCATTTGAAAATGCTCTGGTCTGTAAATGGTGAATTCTGCGTAGTTGTTTTCTTTTTCGGTTTCATACACTATATCTTTGCTGCTGTTCAGTAGCTGAAACCACATTTTGCCTTTGTGTTGATATGGGGATTCACAGTAGATATTAACTTTTTCACTCTCATTCTGAACAAAGTCAAAAGAGATTGAAGGCCTAGGCAGATCTAAAAATTACATAGAGATTACAGGAAATACAGATAGAGTAGAATTGAAAGGACTCTGTAACATTATAAGGCATGCATTAGATAAGTCTGGACACACATGTATGTTGGTTGAGTGCACACTAAAACCTTGTGTTTACAAACTGTCAATATATCCAGCATATTTTTATTAAAATATAATAAATAACATCTAACGTAGGCTTAGATGTAATATTGCTGAATTAGCTTTTAAAATGATTTAATATTGTTGGATACACTTTTAGAATTATTTTTCAAAGTATTAAAATATCAAAAAATTATCAAATATATAAAAAAAATCAACATTTCAGAAATATCAAAATAATAAAATAGTTATCAAAATATTAAATATTTTAAAAAAATGTCATCCAAAATAGTAAATCATTTGGAAAGCTTATAAAAAAATAATTAGAAGCCTTAGATATGAGATGGTATTAAGAGACATCAGACAATTAAAAGATCAATTTCTCCTCCTTGCATAGTAGAATTTTAGGATCTCATCAGCACAACCACTGAAATCTGGAGTACCTGTTGGCTGCTGTAATTACATGTTTTCAGCAGGTTTTTTTTCTATTTTGTGGGGCAGCGGAGGGAGGTAACAGTAAGTGCAACAGTTGTGTTTATTAACTAATCACAAAAATGTAAAATACAAAATAAAAAAGTACTCAAATGAAAAGCTAGAATGAAAACACAATAACAAATAATAAAATAATGATAAGGATTCTAATCAACTACTGCAACCAATAGTGTATACAGTGCTCAGCACATCAACTGGTAATGATACTACAAACTGTGTGATATGTGAAAAAACACCCAGTCAAAGTGGGTACTTCAATTACCATGGCAACAGATCTTTCACAATAACTGTATTAGTGAGATTTTTCTTTTAATAGATTTGGGA